CCCCCGGGGTGCCCTAAAGGCAAGTTTGGGGGATCATACTTGAAAAATATCTAAACATTGGGTACCCCTGGGTTTGCTCAGGGGTTGAGAGGCTGCCTTTGGTTCAGGGTGTGATCCCGGGGATCCTGGGTTTGAGTCCTGCCTTGAGCTGTCCCACAGGGAGCCTGCTTCTCCCTCTGCCTTTGTCTCTGCCTCTCTCTCTGTGTCTCTCATGAATAAATAAATAAAATCTTTGAAAAAAATTTGTAAACATTGGTTTAGCAGGTAGTGAATATGTCTGTATTTTTGAGATGTATCTAGGTAAATCTTTAAATCCGGTATGATTTTTTCATAAGAGAAAGCTCAAATAGTGCTAAAGTTTTATATCTTTAGCTTATTTTGTCTTTTATAAAGATTTCTATTTTACTCTCAACTTTGTAAAGTTACATATCCTTCTATAGTATCTTAGAAACACCCGAAATCAAGTTTCTGGACTTGGGAGAGCCAGGAAAGTTAAAAAAGGAAAGTTAAAAATTAGTCTTTGGGTGGGAAGCAAATTGTTGATATATACCTATCATTCCTTGTTGATTCCATTCATATACTGTGATTATATCCTCTTGGTTTTTGTCTTTTTGGGTTAGCCCTAGAGGGAACTTTTTACCTCTTTGATTATTCTGGTTATACCTTGATTGTGAGAGGTCTGGGATAGGGGAGGCTGGGATTGAAGGAATACATGGTAACCTTGTTTTAGATATAGGGTAATTAAATACAAACATAAAATTATATGTGCTGTTAACCATTTTTCATTTCTGCTATTTATTGTGTCCCCCCTACCCAAGTCCTAGCATACTTTGCTCATTCTCCAGATCCTCTACCTTTGAATCTTCTGTTACTGTTTTTGGAATGCTTTTTCTGCTTTCTTTACTTAATTTTAAAGTCTTTTCTAAGATTATTTCAGATAACTGAGTTTTTGGAATACTAAGATTTGTGGAACCTGTATCATCTTAAAATTAAAAATTCTGCTTTCTCCTGTGAATTATAAGTAAATTGGAAACTATTTGCCCTCACAGGAAGGTAGTAGTAGAATATAAAGTGGTCAAACACAGCACATAACATAATAAATTGGGACTTTTACTGGTTGTGGAGGCAGATCAGTCTTGTCAGTCTTATTCTTTGAGCTTATTCTTTTTTTTTTGAAATTCTACCAACTAGAATTCCAGATGCAGCAAAAATATAGATTCAGATCTCTTCTTTCAGACCCTTTTCCATTATATATGCAATTACATTTGCCAGCATTAAGTTTCTCCGTGAGGAAAATGTTCTTATAAAGAAAATGTTTTTTTTTTGTTTGTTTGTTTGTTTTAAATTTATTTTATTTTATTTATTTATGACAGGCACACAGTGAGAGAGAGAGAGAGAGAGAGACATAGGCAGAGGGAGAAGCAGGCTCCATGCACCGGAAGCCCGACGTGGGATTCGATCCCGGGTCTCCAGGATCGCGCCCTGGGCCAAAGGCAGGCGCTAAACCGCTGCGCCACCCAGGGATCCCCCGAAGAAAATGTTAAAATCAGTTGCCTTTTTTGCTTTTCCTTTTCAACTTTAGGAATAATTATGGAATTGCAGAATTTTAAAAGGCAACAAAAACATTTGGTTCATACAGTCCCCCTATGCACTATATAATTACACTCAACCATCTACAATTAAAAAAGGATTTTAGGTATTTGAGAAATAGGTATTTGAGAAATGTTTTCCTGAAGTTCTGAAGTACTCTAATAACTTCAGTTCTTTGAAGAACAAACTTCTTTGTTTGTTTTCAAATTCTTGAAAAAGAATTCTTCATTTTCCTAGAGGCCATAGATGTGTACTCTATAGCCTAATATTTTTACTATTGAAGTCTCATTTCTCAAGTAAATCCAAGCTGAATGATATGTAGGGTCCTATAACTTTTTTTGAAAACTTTTGGAAGTTTTCAGTATTTAGTGTTCTGTCTCCCCCCACCCCAATAGTTATTTTAAAATAACAATGGAGGAGTAAGAGACAGTCAGCATAGTCAAGCATGTTAATATTTTAACATTGAATGCTCATAGTGAAATGATAACAAATTTGTTCACAACACATTTTACTTTCAAATAAGTCATAAAGTATGTGATTTTTAGAGCTTTAGGTATTAGGAATTGAAGTTTTATATAATCTTTTTGAGCCTGATATTTTTAAAAGCTAAACTGTGTATTGGTAGAAAAGCTATTGTAGTCACCAGTGTTTATTTATACAAAATTTGTTGTAAAATATCATGGTGAAGTTCTTGCAAATACCGAGATGAGAAATAGTATTTCTCTCTTTGTAAGGATTCTGAGACAGTGTATTAGAAAAGAATTCCTGTTAATTTTCGTTGGAATTTGCATCAAAATCAAGAAATTACTACTTAGAGAACTGTATTTATTCATAAATGTTGTAACTATTAGGGTGATATCTATGCATTAGATACTATTTTGTAATTTACACGTGTGCTGTCTCATATAACCCTTAGAACAAATGCTGTGCAATAGGTTTTTTTAATCCTCTTCATTGTACAGATGAGAGAAATATATCCTAGAGATGAGGTAATTTGCCCAATGTCACAAGATTAGTGGCATAACCACTATCTAAATGGAAGCATCCTTACTCTAGAGCTCATTAAACCTTGGGAGGTGAAAGAGTTTTGGAAGTCATCATAGAATTGAGAATAAAACATTGAAAAGAAGATAAATAGAAACTTGATTCAGAAGTCGGAGGGCATTGATACTCTTCAAGAAGAAAGAAACATATCATTCTGGCAGTCTCACATAAGAATTCTGGAGTTAATACTGCCTGGGTTCAAATTTTCAACTATATAACTTATCAGCAGTTTAATCTTAGGCAAGTTTATTATTAACTTTTGTATACTTCAGTTTTCTCAGTTGTAAAATAAAGATAATACCTATCTTCACTGATTAAATGTGATAATACATTTTAAAAAGTGAGAATGATGCCTAGCACATAAGCACTCAATAGATGTTTGCTGCTGCTGCTGTTAGTAGTCAGATGTGTCATATTGATAATGGATGATTTATTTGAATAGTTAAAGGATTGGTAGAATCAGGAAAGAAAAACAAACATGAAGACTGATTTCTGGTATATCTGGAAGTATCTGCACAAGTGGGACCCACAAGAGTTTTGGTTGTTTAGTAAATGAGGTTTTACTATTAATTTGGAATTCAATGCTTCATTTCTTATATAAAAGAAATGATATGATTTCTCTGATGTAGCAGAGAAAAACCTCTGTGTTAAGTAGCAGAAAGCATTAATTTGAGAAAAGTAATTATTTCTGTAGTGTTTATAATATTAGGGATTATTGCTGTGGTAGAAAGGAAATAGTATTATTTTTAGAAATTAAATCTATATTTGATTGTAATTATTAAAATTTATAAGTTAAATTATTTTCAGGTTACATGTTGCATAGCATGCTTTGTGGGGAACTGTTTAATAATTTTATGTAGACTATTGCACAGGAACAGGCTTTGGCTCTTGCCCCATATAATTTGTTAAATGTGCAGATTTAGTTTTCTCTGCCTTAAATTCGTGCTAATGAAAGAACAAATGAATAGTAGTCTAATTTCATGTGTGTACATAGCAGTTTTTTGGTTCATTCAGTTCCCCTATTTATTTAAAACTCTTTTTTTTAATGTTCAACCTTAAATGATTTTTTTTAAAAAAGATGTTATTTATGTATGAGAGAGAGAGCGAGCGCATGTGAACAAGGGTGGGGAGGGACAGAGGCAGAGGGAGAAGAAGAAAAAGACTCCCTACTGCAGGGAGCCCAACTTGAGGCTTGATCTCAGGACCCTGGGATCATGAACTGAGCTGAAGGCAGACACTTAACTAACTGAGCCAACCAGGTACCCTTAATGTTCACCCTTAAATGATCTTAATATATTGTAGTTTGCTCACAGAATATAAAATTCTTTCTAATTTAATTTTCTCAGATATCTATTGATAATTTAAATATGAACCCATCTTTTTCAAATAAAAGCCCAATATGGAAAGGTAGTCACGTATTTTTACCAAGAATGAACCACTGATTTCTTTAAGCTACCTATTCATTATGGATATAGCTAATATGTGAAATTGATTTCCTAGTCTGCGTTTTCATTATGAAATATACCTTTGCTTTTGGAGGCAAATGACTTGAGTGAGAGAGTGAGAGTAGTTATGTGACATATAATTGTACAGCTGTGACTTTCCTTTGTAATTTTGGTTAATGCTGCATAGTTTCAGAGATTTTTTTAGTATTAGATAGGCAAATGCACAGAAGTTAACTAAATGAAAACCAATGTAGAGAGCAGATTATGTTTTTGAGCAGGTGGAGAAAACTAGTGTATAGGTATTGGATTATGAAAAAAAGATTATTGGTATTTTAACATTTATTCTATTCCTTTGGTAATTTTCTTTCACATGAGATGATTATCATAACATTTTGGACCTGGAAGGGACTCTAGATAATCTAGAGATAATTAGTCCCCACTCATGTCACTTTGCAGATGAGGGAATGGAGTGATTATAAAGTATGTGTCTGAGGACACATAGCTCTTCAGTGCCATAACAAGATCTCTTAACTGTAAATTTAATTGCTTGCTTGTGCTCTTTTCCTAATGCTCTTAAGTCCTTTGTTCCTTAAAGTGTTCCAAACAGCTTATTAACCTGTCTGAAAATGAAATCGGAGCAAATACATTTCTCTATACACCTGTTTTGTGATTATTTCCTACTGACACTCTTTCATGGTGTGTTTAAGGCGGTGGATGAAGAATTTGTAAATTTTTAAAATGTTTGCTGATTTTTGTTTATGAGTTATGTGTTTATTTGATATCTAACTTATTGACAATAAATATTTTCTTTGCTTAGAAATTAGAAATACTGGATTTGGATATGATATGTTTCTATTTACCTTTTCTGTTGCTAGAATAACTTGAACACTGAATCATATTTTTTCTCTCTTCATTTTGCAGTAATATTATTGATTCCACAGAATACAGCCAACCTCCTGGTTTCAGTGGCAGTTCTCAGGTAAATAATATATTTAGCAGTATGTTTTTGTGTTACACTGAACATAATCACCTGAGTTTTAAAATCATTGATTAGTCTGCTGGAATGTTCTGTCATAAACATGACTGTTTTTGAATGCTGTGGCATGGATTAGGAGTTGGATAGTTCTTTTTTTTTTTTTTTTAAGATTTTATTTATTTATTCATGAGAGACACACACAGAGGCAGAGACATAGGCAGAGGGAGAAGCAGGCTCCATGCAGGGAGCCCGACATGGGGCTCAATCCGGGGTCTCCAGGATCACACCCTGGGCTGAAGGCGGTGCTAAACCGCTGAGCCACCGGGGCTGCCTGGACTCGGATAGTTCTGATGCATAAGCAGCTATTTATGTGGTCATCAGTGATGAATTAAAAAAATTTTTTAAGTACTAGTAACATTAGACCTTGAAGGGAAGGAAATACTGTAAGATGAAATTATGAATAATCAGCACATTTTTCCGCAGGGATGTTTATAATCTATTTATGAATTACTCATTGTTATGCTGATATGTTAAGCTTTTTTTATGGGAAGTAAACTACAGATTTGAGTAAAATAGACTTCAGCTTCACTTCTCTTCTAATTAATTGTATGATTGTTTTGGCTTTTACTCCCATCTGTAACTCGGGGATGCTGATAATTTGTCAAATCTAATTTTGAGGCTGGGCCTTTTGTTTTTTTAACTTTTTATATTGAAATAATTTTAGAATTAGTCAAAAGTAACCAAAATGGTAAAAGTAATTCCTTTGTATCCTTTATCTGGATTGTCCAAATGTTAACATTTGATCACATTTATTTGTTCATTCTCATTCTGTCTTTTGCTTAAATACACATAAATTTTCTTTTCTAGATTGAGTTAGGTACAGACATACTGATTCTTTACCTCTAAAAACTTTAGTGTATATTTCCTTAAAAATAAAGGTATTGCCTTATATAATCATAATATAATTTTAAAATTCAAAAAGGTAACATGGATAGTATAGTACTATTGTCTAATCCCTGTAAAATTTAGCAATAGTCCTAATATTATCCTTCATAGTAAAAGGGAAACCATGAGATATTTTTATAAATGTTCATTTATATATTCACTTTATGTGTAGTGTGGTTGTGGTTATTTTTATCAAAGTAAAAAGAAAATCCTTTTAGATCTTTTGGAGCTTTTGTTTGTGTTTTTCTTTTCCCACTGCTTAGATTACTTCTGTTACTTTCATGGTTAGTTGGTATAACTACTCTGAACATCCCGTGTTATCTTCATATGCATGCATGTATTTGGCCTGTTTGTTTTTTTTTAATAGTAATTTCACAGGTTGCTTTCCAGCTATTACTGAACAACCATGAAAATATCAGATCATCTTGTTTTTATAAGACATATAGGATATATCAGGAGAAATTTTTAAAGCATTAAGTTGAAGCATATCTTAAAAACTTGAGAGGGAAAGGCAGTCGTTGGATCTGGAAACAGGCTTTGCATTCATAGCTGGACCTTGATGTTCTTTTGAGTATAATCTCACAAAATATCAGCATCAGATACATCCACCCTGTGACTGTGATGAAGTGAGACAAGAAGTAAGGTCACTTTATAAACTGCCTAACTAAGCACAAACAAAAACAAAATCGCCGTGCAAGCAAGAAAAAAAATACCAGAGGCAATTCTCTCCTAGCTAATATGGACAATTGCTGTTGCTTTACTATTTGCAACTTTAGTTTTACTGTAGTCTTTTGTCCTTCTAATTAAGAAGATGCTCAATCACAGAATTATCTCCACTTCTTGACAGTATCCAATCCAGAGCCCTCCCTCAAACAATGAACATGAACTTGTATCCTGTAAGTGTGTTCTTAACTGAGATACTCTCTTACCTGTAGTGTGTTGTATTGTTTGTTGGCAGTGAGTAATAAATAAAAATTGTTCACCTACAGGTGTGTGTTTCTATTGGGCTTTGGCTGCAGGGCATTGACAGTCTCTTTGTAGAGGAACAAGAAAAGGTTTTTCTATTATTGCCATTTACATCGTATTTATTTGAATTTCTAGCAGTGAGCTAGAAACATGGAAGTTGAATCTGGGTAAAAAAGAAAAGTAATAAGAATAGTGTTTTGTTTTCTGTTTAAATTTTTAGAACAGCACTTACTATTATCATGTAATAAAGGAGATTTCTGGTTTAAGATGGTATCCTGAGGCACTCAGTATGTTAGTATCTCTTCAGGCTTCACTCACAAGAAATCTCATTGATCTATTACTATCCTCACACTGAAAACTTAAAAGAATGTATACAGGATTAAAAAAACACTTAAGAAGGCTTCCTAACATGAAAGTCACAGTGTGCAGAGTCAAGTGTGCCTAAGGATGACATAGGCTGGGTCTTCTGGAAGATTTCAACGTTAGCATCTGCTGGAGGACAGGGAGGTTGTTGAGGAGGAAATCCTTCTAGTATTTATAGGATAAAACTGATAGGACATACTGTGTTGAAGGCCTGCCCTTCATTTCTAGCTGTACTCTTTAGAACAGATAGACCTAATGCATATTGACACAAAAAGGATTGAAAATAGAGCGCCTGGGTGGCTCAGTGGTTGAGCGTCTGCCTTTGGCTCAGGGCATGGTCCTGGAGTCCCAGTGAGCCGCATTTGGTTCTCTGTGAGGAGCCCGCTTCTCCCTCTGCCTCTGTCTCAGCCTCTTTGTGTCTCTCATGAATAAATAAATAAAATCTTTATTTTAAAAAAAGGATTGAAAATAGAGGAATAGTTGAGGATAAGCCTGGCAAATGTAAGAGTACTAAAGAATATAGCAAAAACAAAGAAAGAAAAGTGCATACCAAAATAGGACTCAAGGAGAAAAGTGTAAAAGGCAACATTTTTTACATAAAGAAAAGGTATAGTTCCCCAATGTAGTAATAATTTGTGTGACATAGCATAAGTATTGGAGTTTATATAAGGCAAAAATTGTTATGAAATTTTTAGAAAATTGATTAAAATTTAAACATGCTGGATGAGTTTGAAGTATTCTTAATTCAAGAATGAATTAAAGTAATGGGCATTAGTCATCATTATTTTATACTTAGTATTCATGGACATTAAAGAACTTTGCATGTATTAATTACTTTAATTCTCCAAGGTTCCCTGTAAGATAAGTACTATTACTATTATTTTTTGTTTTATTGAGGAGAAAACTGTGACACAGGAAAGTTAAGGAGCTTGCTCCAGGTAATATAACTAGTAAGAGGAGGGTGCTGAGATTTTACCTAGGCATTATGGTTTCAGAGCCTCTGCTTTTAAATACTTATTTATTCAACCAACAGATTTTTTTTATTAAAATATTTTATTTATTTATTTGAGAGAGACAGAGGACAAAAGAAGGAGCAGGGAACAGGGAGGATTAGAGGGAAAAGCAGGCTCCTCGGTGCATGTGGGGCTCGATCCCAGGATCTTGAGATCGTGACCTGAGCTGAAGGCAGATACTTAAGCATCTGAGCCACCGGATATCCCAAAACCAACAGATTAAAAATTTTTTTATTTATGTATTCACTTTTTGAAGAAGTACGTGCTATTTACCAGGTACTATTACAGGCTCTTGGGATACATTATTGAAAAAACACAAAAGAAAGATCCCTGTTGTAACCAAACTCGCAGTCTAGTTGGAGAAATACTAATAGTAATAAAATGACTCCTTTGAACAAAGTGGAGGTGAGGGAGCAAACCCATGTGAGTATGTATATCTGGAATTCCCATGTTCTGAGCAGAGGGTTAATAAGTGATCCCTGAGGTAGGAGCATGCCTGACATAGTTTAGAAGTCCCTTGTGGCTGGAGAGGAATAATCAAGGGGAAAAAAAGTGGAAATGAAATAAAACAACAGAGGCCACTTGTTGCATGACTTTCTTAGGCCATTATAAAGACTTTGTGGAATATATATTTTTTTTTTTGGGTGAAATCAGTGAAGCTGGGTTTAATAGGTTCTTGTCTCACTTTATGCTGTGCATCAAAGAATATACATTTTAAAGAAAGATTTACCCATTTAGAGTGGGGGGGGAGAAGGAAGCAGGAAGTTCCTAAGTGGGAGGGGGAAAGGGAAAATCTCAAGCAAGACCCTCTGGTGAGTGTGGCCCTCCTGTGGGGCTCAGTCTCACGACTCTGGGATCATGACTTGAGCTGAAACCAAGGGAGTAAGGTGCTTAACTGACTACGCCACTTAAGAGCCTCAAAGGATATACATTATTGATAATAGTCTTGGAGTATGTAGGGGTGGAATGATTCTAAAACAGGATAAATGGTATTTTCTAAAACAGGATAAATGGTATTGTCTACATTTTGTGAATCGGATCCCCAAGTAAATAAATAATTTAGACAGATAATTTGGAAGAGAGTAAACTAAATTTCTCTGTATACCTTTGTGTCCAAGAGTAGTCCCAGATAGTGGTACAAACAATTAAAAAAGTAAAGCTAGTGAAAATACTACATGTCAAAAATTTTGAAATGTGGTCAGAATTATCCTCAAAAATTTGTATTATTAAATGGATTCACTTTTATAGTTTTCTTTTTTCTATTTTTTTTTTTTTTTTTTATTTATGATAGTCATACAGAGAGAGAGAGAGGCAGAGACATAGGCAGAGGGAGAAGCAGGCTCCATGCACCAGGAGCCTGATGTGGGATTCGATCCCCGGTCTCCAGGATTGCGCCCTGAGCCAAAGGCAGGCGCCAAACCACTGCGCCACCCAGGGATCCCCTGGATTCACTTTTAGATGAGAATGAATATAAATGAACTAGACATTCAGCTCAAGAAGCTGGGAGTTTTGTTTTTTTTTTTAAAGATTTCATTTATTTGAGAGAAGGAGAGAGAAAGCTCACATACATGGCACCAGCTGGAAGAGGGGCAGAGGGAGAGGTAGAGAATCTTATGCATGCTCCGCACCCAGCATGAGCCTAAGGGCGGGGGCTCAGTTTCATGATCTTGAGATCATAATCCCAGCAGAAACCGAGAGTGGACACTTAAATGATGA